AGCAGCAGCAGACAAACGGGAACTTGAACGGGAACTTGAACAGGAACAAAGGAAACGGGAAACGTCCTCCTAGGCATCCGGCCGTGCTAAGCCATTCGTGTTTCTCTGATTCATATTCTTCTAAAGGAGATAGTGTAGCTGTAGCTTCTTCTTGTGTTTCACCAGACCGGTTAGTCTGAGGTAGTCACAGTGTGGGGACCACTTGTGGGTTCCACCCAAGGATCGTCGTGGGACCCCCATCGTCTCAGCCGCACGCCACATTGGAAACAGTACACGCCATCGGCACCCCCTGTGTAGGCAAAGCCCGCATGGGCCATCTCTTCAGCAGTCTGATTCATTTGCGTTGGCCACGTCTCAAACGAAGCGAGTCTTCTTTCAAACCGTAGATAACAGGGCGATGGCGTGCTACCGAGTGGTGACATCTCATCCTCAGCATCCATACTCTTACTCCAACATCCACGAGTATCGAAAGAAAACGTCAGCAACACCGTCCACGTCGACATCTGTGACACCCGTGACACCCGTGACACAAGTGCTTCATCTGATAGAAGCCATTCATGTCGATGTCCTCGACCTAAAAGAACGCATCGCACAACTCCGTGTGGGCATCACACCTCGTCTAGAGAAAAGAAAACGGGACAGAAGCCTCTCAGGAAAACACTCTTCAAAGCGCCGACGACACCTTCAGTCTGAGGATGAGATGGAGGTAGAGGATGAAGAAGATAGATCATCTGAACAAAGTGACTAACGCATGGGAGGACATGCTGCTCCACTGTTTTTTCCAGTTTCCCATCGTTTCCAATTTTCCAGTGTTCCCGTTTCCAGTGTTCCAGTGTTCCTACCGTTTCCTACCGTTTCATGTTTCCAGTTTGTTTTCGGGGCCACCCATCACTCCTGAAAGAATGCTTTCATCCTTTGCTTTCACGTCCCTCAAACCCAAACAAAGAACCCGCCTCCTCCTCCCTCCCTCCCTCCCTTCACCACCACCACCACCACCTTTTCTACTTTTATTTTTAGAACAACAACAACAACAACAACCATGTCGATCTTGTTCACCTTTTACGACAGCTTCTCTGGGTTTTTACTAAATTCCCTCCTCCTCCTCCCCCGGAAACGGAGGCAACGTCCTCTTGAAGGTGTGCGCGCCACCGGACACGGAGGCGACGCCCTCTTGTAGGTGCGTACGCCACCGGAAACGGAGGCGACGCCCTCTTGGAGGCGCACGCCACCGGAAACGGAGGCGCAGCCCTCTTGGAAGTGCGCACGCCACCGGAAACGGATGCGACGCCATCTTGGATGCGCACGCAGGTCCCAGCATGCCCTGCGCGCATGCCCTCTCGACCAATCAGAAGCCAGGAGCGGTTCCAGGGTACCGTACACAACTACTCAGGGGTTTCACCCTCACTGACCCCCCCTATGTTGTCTTTGTAAGAAAATACTTCAATCGTAATAAAGAACTGCGCATGCGTGGAACGTTTTTCATTCGACAACTTCCCTACAAACGTAAAAACGTCCGTTACAGTTTGGGAACCCAACTACCGAAATCTACGCCTACATCTGTATTCCAGAGCTAAATTAATTAGTCGTACTGTTCGGGCACTTTTAAGCTGAACACGTGTATTTGGTGATCGCCTTGTCACTGTTATATTTCTTATTGCATGAAAGTCAAGTCACAGTACTGAGTCAGCACTCCTTCGGGTCCACAACGACATCCTGACATCTTTTGGGCAGCGGAAAACCACTCTTCTTGTTCTCCTTGACCTCTCATCTGCTTTTGATAGTATTGATCACGCAATTTTATTACACAGAATCAACACACGACTTGGCATTCGGGGAACAGCTCTCCAGTGGATCTAGTCCTACCTGTCTGGCCAGACCATGTCTGTTAAGATCCATGATTGTCATTCTACAACATGCATAAGTCACTATGGTGTACCACAGGGTTCATTCCTTGGACCTCTACTATTCACAATTTACACCCTGCCAATTGGAGATATCATCCAGAAACATGCTCTTAACTTCCACCTCTATGCGGACGATAATCAGATATACATTTCCTTTAAAACTTCCCAACTGTCTCGGAACCTCGCCGCCCTTGAGCGCTGTATTGATGACATACGATCCTGGATGAGCTTTAATCATCTTAAACTCAATGAAGAGAAGACTGAAATTTAAACCTTGGTTCGCGACACCAAGTCAGAAAGCTTCACCCTGACTCTGTATACCTTCATATTTGTGATACCACTGCCACTGCCAGTGCCCGTAATCTCGGAATCACCTTTGATTCAATATTGGCCATGGACACCCATATTTCACTAACCAGCAGAGCAAGCTACCATAGCATCTATAACATCAGTAAAGTCCGCCATCTACTTGATACTCCAACAGCTAAATTGTTGATGCAATGTCTTGTGACCTCCAAACTGGATGACTGCAATGCATTGCATGCTAATCTTCCCATGAAAGCCATATCAAAGCTACAACGCATTCAGAACTTTGCAGCTAGATGCATCTCTAAAGTTCCAAGATCCAATCACATCTGTCCTGTCCTCAAAGCACTACATTGGCTTCCAGTCTCCTTTCGTATAAACTATAAGATATGTAACATCACTCACGACTGCCTCAACAATAGCGACTATCCAGACTATCTCAAAGATCTTATATCCCTGTACTCTCCAGAGCGTGCTCTCCGATCCTCTGGTGGAACTCTACTGTATCAGCCTCTGTCTATGTCTGACCGTGCCTTCTCCTTTTGCAGTCCACAGTTATGGAACTCTTTGCCTTTGAATCTGAGAAACTCTGCTTCTAAGGAAACGTTTAAGTCTCTCCTCAAAACCCACTTCTTCACTTAAGCTTTTCAACAGATCTCCTGATTGTTGGCATATGTACATAGGCATTACTTTTTAACTTTGTCACAGCGCCAGGGAGCAACTGTCGATGGATATGAGGTGCTTTACAAATCAATTATTATTATTATTATTATTATTATTATTATTATTATTATAAATGTCCCCCGTTTAGCAAAATGTCTTTATTAATGGTAAACCAAATCAACGCCAAATGTAAATGGCAGACAACATTCCATGCAACTAGGTCTAGTGTATTTAGCCCAAAAACAAAACTATTGTGTCTATATCATAATTATCCACGGGACAACTGCCATTCCAAGGAACCACCTGTCAATGTATACTATAGATCGAGGAAAGACCACGTGATGAACCTAGACCCGTGACTGCAAATATATAAATTACCAATGCAAGAGAATAATCAATCTAGATTATCCGCAGAAACAGATTCCATTTTGTATGGAGGGGAAAATAGCGGTAAAAATGTTGTGAATGACCACTGAAAATCAGTGATGACAACAGGTGTTCGCGAAAAGGATGAGCATGTCCTGACCTACGGGTAGTGCCCGCACTATATGGTGGCATAAGCTCTAACCACAATAAAATATTCTCCCTTGAACAGTATGTTTTTTCAACTACAGTTTTCTGAAAAAATCTATGGGATGTGTGGGTAATTGAAATAATGCCTTATAGGAAATTGAATAGAAAGTACATTCATTTCTATTTCTTCATACAATTGCCAATAACATGTCACATTTGGTCTGGTAGATTTTGTAATTTTTCAACTTTGTAAGCTGTTCAACCCTGTATGCATGACATTTGTAAGAAAGTTTACCGCAATAATGAACGTGAGACAGTGAGATTATCATCCTGTAGAAACATTTCGACATGCAGGTATAAATTTTCCCTTGGAAATAGCTTGAGTTCATATTAAGAGGGCATGCCTTAATCCTTAAATCGTGTGTGCCTTCACGAAAAGGACAGATTGTGAACGAATGAAAAAAGAAACAAAACGATTCGGTTTGGTATGTCGTGTGCCATTGTTACAGGCGGACATACAGTATAGGTTTTTAACGATATGTAAAGCATGTACATGGCAGGTCAGTTATGCGACAGATGTAAAACATTTGAGTTAATAGTGAGTCACTGATTGAGATAATTCATGTAAGCCATGTAACGGGAAGAGGAGTTTGTCAACCTCTGAGTGCCCCTAGCCTTTACTGCCAGTCTTTCCGCCTCACATACACGAAATCAGTCACATTCCTGTAATTTATTAGGTAACCCGCAATATTCTTTTTGCTCAATCACTGTGCGTTGAACGTGTCATGACATGATGTACACGCAAACGAGTGGGTGAAGAGCGAGATGCTCGTGATGATTGATACCAGATGTGTGTATAGTTGTCAGCGATAAGATTCAGTGAGGATATTTGAATTATTTAAGTAAATTAATATCGCTTTTAGAACTAGACGAAAGATGGAGAGACGATTTCATTTCGCGAATAATATGTGCCGGTATAATGTTCAACTTAATCTCTGATATTTCAAACAGGGTACTTGTCGTGAAGTATATGACAAGGGACTTATGGAAAAGTTCTTTCATCAAAAGCTGTTCATACATGGCTTGAGCCACGAGGTGTTTATAAAACAGCAGGACTGGTGAATCATGTCTACTGTACAGTGTTAGATGTGTTAATGACGCTTCCCGCTGCCACTAGAAACACAGAACTGGTGTATCATGTCTACTGTACAGTGTTAGAAGTGTTAAAGATGTTTGTTGCATCCATTAGAAACATGTCGGTGCCATTAGAAACACAGGACATGACTCATGTCTATAGTCCAGCAGCTCCAGCCTTTGGTGTTTATATTTCACAACTTTTAAGGTAAAATCAAGCACGCTCTTTCTCCTAAGATTTCAAAGACTCTTCCTCAGAAATTGTTTAATCAAGGTGACAACGTTCAAGGCCCCAACAAAGCTTTCAAAAAGCTTTATGATAAACATGTGGAGGACATTTCCAAATATGAGGCGTCAGTGACAAAAATGATGTCCTACAAAATTCCCTTATTTGACTCCCTTTTCGCAAACATCTGGTATCATCACATCCTCATGATAAATACAGTTTTCATTGTTCCAAACAGATTATAGAAATCTTACCTTTTTGATTTTGTTCAGTCAAGTCTTGGATGGGTTTCTCACGCAGCGCATCACGTTCCTCAAGTTCCTGTATCTGTAATGATTAAAACTTTAGTCTGGTGGATCAATTTATCGGCACACTCATCAAAACCTATCATGCTAATAACACAGATACAAAGACAATAGTTTAGCAATATACCAGCAATATCACGGCGGGGGACACCACAAATGGGCATCACACATTGTACCCATGTCAGGAACAGAACCCGAGTCTTAGGCGTGACGAGCGAACGCGTTAACCACTAGGCTACCGGAGCGCCCCCGCAAAACTGAGACAACGGTCCATGTCATTGGGCGTGGTCACTACGGCAACTGAAACTTAGTCACAACGTTTGTAAAATTCGAAATTTCGAAAGATTAAAAAAACAAAGCATCTGAGTATTTAGGTTGAGTATTAGTATATACAGGAGTATTTACCTGACAGTTTGGGTATATACAGGAGTATTAACTGACAGGTTTAGTACACACAGGAGTATTTACCTGACAGTTTGTGTATATACAGGAGTATTTACCTGACAGTTTGAGTATATACAGGAGTATTTACTTTACAGTTTGTATATTTCCAGGAGTATTTACCTGACAGTTTGTGTATATACAGGAGTACTAACTGACAGGTTTAGTACATACAGGAGTATTTACCTGACATTTCGAGTATATACAGGAGTATTTACCTTACAGTGTGTGTATTTCCAGGAGTATTTACCTTACAGATTGAGTATATACAGGAGCATTAACTGACAGTTTGAGTATATACAGGAGTACTAACTGACAGGTTTAGTACATACAGGAGTATTTACCTGACAGTTTGTGTATATACAGGAGTATTTACCTGACAGTTTGAGTATATACAGGAGTATTTACTTTACAGTTTGTATATTTCCAGGAGTATTTACCTGACAGTTTGTGTATATACAGGAGTATTAACTGACAGTTTGAGTATATACAGGATTATTTACCTGACAGTTTGTGTATGTACAGGAGCATAACTGACAGTTCGAGTATATACAGGAATATTTACCTGACAGTTTGAGTATATACAGGAGTATTTACCTGACATTGTGTGTATATACAGGAGCATAACTGACAGTTTGTGTATAAACAGGAGTATTTACCTGACAGTTTGAGTATATACAGGAATATCTACCTGACAGGTTGAGTATATACAGGAGTATTTACCTGACAGTTTAAGTATATTCAGGAGTATCTACCTGACAGGTTGAGTATATAGTGTTGTTACATGGGGTTCTCTGAATGTCGCACATATTTACACCAAGTACCACTTACCCTGTATGATAGTGTACTGTGTTGTTACAGGTACAGATAAGATACACAAAGCCACGCTTTCAATTCATGTAGTGTTAAGATATATATTGCTAATGGTGATGCAAGGTCTCTAATTGGTTTTGTAATATGGCAATGTTGTAATTGGATTACATTGTTTATGTAAGGATTCAGTAGACATTCATTGTGTTTTGATAATAATCTGTTGTCAGGAATGTATTACTAGATAATGTAAGCAGTGGTGTGGAAGTTACTGGATGCTGATGCTTTGGGGTTCAAGTACAATCTGGAATCTTCTGGAAGAGCTATAGACTAACACGAAATGGTATGGAACTTTCTAAAAGGTATTCAGAGTCTATGAGTGGGAAAGAACATGCCTCTCTCATCTCACATTACATCATGTCCAGCGGATGTAATAAGATACTATTTTCACCCTGGAAATTCAGCCTGGGCCTATTTTGGAAGCTTGACCATTGTTGCTGCTTGGTGAATATCATTATCTCTGACTATTAATTTGATATTTTGTCCTGCCATTGAATTTTGTACTACCACCATATTGTGTATTGTCATTCTAATTATATTGAAGTATTTTTTATAGATTTGTAAACCTTGTAATTATTCCTGTAGAAATTGTGAATGGCACATTTCTGTGTTATTTGCTGCCTCCACACTGAGTTCTTTTGCATACACATTTCTGGTTTAACCTATTGTTCTAATCTGGCATCAACACTAAACAGTGGTTATGTTGAAACACTCTCGATTATTTTAGTGAACGATATTGCGGGTGCAGACAGGGAACAAATTGTATGTAAGCCAGTAAACCCTATGTTGACATGCCCAGTGAACCCTATGTTGACATGCCCAGTCAACCCCGTGTTGATATGCCCAGTAAACCCTGTGTCGACATACCCAGTCAACCCTGTGTTGATATGCCCAGTAAACCCTGTGTCGACATACCCAGTCAACCCTGTGTTGATATGCCCAGTAAACCCTGTGTCGACATACCCAGTAAACCCTATGTTGATATGCCCAGTAAACCCTATGTTGACATGCCCAGTAAACCCTATGTTGACAAGCCCAGTAAACCCTATGTTGACATGCCCAGTAAACCCTATGTTGACATGCCCTGTAAACCCTATGTTGACATGCCCAGTAAACCCTATGTTGACATACCGAGTAAACCCTGTGTTGATATGCCCAGTAAACCCTGTGTCGACATACCCAGTAAACCCTTTGTTGACATGCCCAGTAAACCCTATGTTGACATGCCCAGTAAACCCTATGTTGACATGCCCAGTAAACCCTATGTTGACATGCCCTGTAAACCCTATGTTGACATGCCCAGTAAACCCTATGTTGACATACCGAGTAAACCCTGTGTTGATATGCCCAGTAAACCCTGTGTCGACATACTCAGTAAACCCTTTGTTGATATGCCCAGTAAACCCTATGTTGAAATACCCAGTAAACCCTGTGTCGACATACCCAGTGACCTCTCTGTTGACATGCCCTGAAAACCCTCTGTTGACATTCCAAGTAAACCCTATGCTGACATACCCTGTGTTGACATTCCCAGTAAACCCTATGCTGACATACCCCTGTGTTGACATGCCCTGTAAACCCTATGTTGACATGCCTTGTAAACCCTGTGTTGACATGCCCTGTAAACCCTATGTTGACATGCCCAGTAAACCCTATGTTGACATGCCCAGTAAACCCTTTGATGACATGCCCTGTAAACCCTGTGTTGACATGCCCTGTAAACCCTGTGTTGACATGCCCAGTAAACCCTATGTTGACATGCCCTGTAAACCCTATGTTGACATGCACTGTAAACCCTATGTTGACATGCCCTGTAAACCCTATGTTGACATGCCATGTAAACCCTATGTTGACATGCCATGTAAACCCTATGTTGACATGTCCTGTTAGATATGAACAATAAACCCTATGTTTACATACACAGTAAATCCTGTATCGATATGAACATATGAACTTGTTGATATGCCAAGTCAATCCTATGTTGACATGCACTGTAAACCCCATGTTGACATGTTTTTGCAGATGATGTGATTTTGATGTCTAGTACTATTATTGGTCTACAGAAGCAGCTTAACATACTTTCGGAATATTCAGATAAATGGAAACTTACTGTTAATCTTGATAAAACAAATATTGTTATATTTCGTAGAGGTGATCGAGTGGCCACAAGAGAGAATTTTTTTTTAAAGGTACATGTATTAATGTTGTGCAAGAATACAAATACCTTGGCATATTGTTTACCCATACACTGAATCTGAACAGGTCAGTAATTAATCTCACAAACAGAGCAAAGAAAGCTCTGTTACAAGTCAACTTTGTTATGTCTAAGCTTGGAGTTATTTCACCAAAAATGTACTTTAAATTATTTGATTCTCAAATACAACCTATTTTACTATACGGGTCTGATATATAGGGTTGTAAAGAGTTCTATACAATTGAAAAGGTTCATCTCCCCGCATGTAAAAAGTTTTTGAATGTTGGTATGTCAACACCAAGTAATATGGTTTATGGAGAATGCGGGAGATTCCCATTGTACATTGGATCTTACACTTGTTGTTTGAAGTATTGGTGTAAAATAATAATAATGCCTGAACACCGTTTACCCCAAAAAGCCTACAACATGCTCGTACACCTCGACAGTCTTGGAAAGAACACATGGGCTTCTTCAAGTCATTGCTTGAACCAGAATCCAATTTATCAAATTTACGGTACAGGAATTCTCGTAACACCCTTATTCGTTTTAGACTTTGCCTGAATGATCTAAAAATTAACACAGGGAGATTTTCATCTATTGAGAAATCGATACGATTATGCCCATTTTGTGACTTTGTTGTCGAAGATGAATACCATTTCATGTTTATTTGCCCTATATACGAAAATCTAAGAAACAAGTACTTACCGCAGTGGTCTCTATCTCATTTTAATGCTAAACGATTGTCTTCACTACTGTCTTGCAAGGATCTTATAACACAACATCAACTGGCTTTGTACATACATAATGCTTTTTTGTTACGAAGTGAATTGTTACCTTGACTTTGTATTTTATAAACAATGTTATGTAACTCCGTTGTATATGGGCCTGTGGCCTTTCATACAATAAAGAATTGAATTGAATTGAATTGACATCCTATATAAACCCTATGTTGACATGCCAAGAAAACCCTACGTTGACATGCACTGTAAACCCTAGGTTGACATGCCAAGTAAAACCTATGTCGATATGCCCTGTAAACCCTATGTTGACATGCCCTGTAAACCCTATGTTGACATGCCCTGTTCGATATGAACAATAAGCTCTATGTTGGCATGCCATGTAAACCCTATGTTGATATACCCAGTAAATCCTATATCGATATGAACATAAAACCCTATGTTGACATGCCAAGTAAACCCTATGTTGACATGCACTGTAAACCCTATGTCGACATGCCAAGTAAACCCTATATTGACATGCCCAGTAAACCCTGTGTTGACATACCCAGTAAACCCTAAGTTGACATAACCAGTAAACCCTATGTTGATTTTTTCCCATGAGGCCTATATTTATCTTTTAAATGCTAAATATACCTTTTGAAATCACCTTAATTCATTGGTTGTTGAAATAGCAAAGCAAGCAGATTGGTTAGACAGCCTTCTCCCGGATGGGCCTCAACCCCCAAAGTGACTGGACTTTTTACATTACTGATGAAGTGTTATCCCAAGTAGACCATTTGTTACATTTGACCACTTTCCAACATGCATTGTTCGATCGTCACGCCGATACAATGTGTGAAGCCCATTTCTGGTTTCCCCCGCCTCGATATTGGTGGAATATTGCTAAAAAGCGGCGTAAAACCAGTCACTCACTCACTCACTCACTCAACATGCATTGTGTATTCATAGGCTTCACTCATGTCAGAATAATAGTGAGAAATTTGATGAGGTCTGGTTTTGAAATGTTTCTAACTGTTTGACCTTTCCATTCGTATGATTCTCAGACCAACCTTACACTTTTGCATTTAGGATATTTATGAGGAAAGTTTCAGAATGATTTTTTCTTTCAATCACACATTTTCTAAGCTTGTATGAAAGATAAACTATTGTCTCAAACTATATAATTTCTTTCATGTCGAGAAATGTGTTCTTAGTATTAACCAGCCATAAATTGTCCATGTTAAACATAAAACCGCATTGACATGTATAAACAAAAATCTCAAAAATGATAAAACTTCTTCACTCGGCTGACCCACATCGTCTCCAAAAGCAGCAGGCTGTGTTAACGTGAAATAACGAGGTACGTCAGTCCCAGACCAAGACTTCTTGCAATCAATGTTTAGTTTTATATACTCTCCCAAAAAGAAACACATAGGGCTAAATTTTAGAACAGAAACCCTTTATTATGAGTGAAGATAACAAGGCGAAATTGAATCTCACACAGATGTCACATATCACATGACAAGAGTCAGTGGTTAGCTGCACCTAATGACGGCTTTGACGTCAGTATCTCTTGTGACCACCGTTAGCTTGTAGCACTGCTTGGCATCTCCTTGACATTGACAGTGTTTGTCTCCGGATCCGAGCCTGGGGTATTCTAGCCCACTCCGCCTGCAATGCTCGCGGAAGTTGTTGCAACCTCTTGGGTCGTGGTTGACATCGCCGGAATCATCGATCGAGATCGTCCCATGAGTGCTCAAATGGGGTTTCAATCCGGGGATTTAGAAGCACTGTGGTGTTCTGATTGATGATGATTGAAGTCCATGGTGATGCGTGCTGCGTGGGCCTGGCGTTTGTCCTGTCCATCGATAACAGGAAGAAGGTGACGTTGTAGAATTTCATCTCTGTAACGAACGGCGGTACGATTCCCTTGCACGTGCACATGTGGAAATGGCCGCCCAAATCATCGTTTTTTCCCCTCCAAATCTGTCAACCTTAACAGTACAGTCAGGTACGGGCGTAGCGCTCATTTCGACGTCTGTTGACTCGGATTCTACTGTCACGATGTTGAATCACAGCTGAACTAAATTCTTTGCCAGTTTCTTCCATCTTTGGATGTTTGTGCAAACACGAACACGTGACAGACGATGATGACGTTGCACCACGGGTCCAAGAAAAGGCGATTTCGTATTGTCTGTGCAGACACTACCTGTAGACCTGGGATATTGCCTGCAGTTTCAGTTGCTGGGATCGACCTATTCCGAATATTGCAGACCCGGATGTAATGATCCTGCACCGCAGTTGTGATCTTTATCCTATCAATTCGAAGACGGTCGCGGGAGGATCCAAAATGGCATAATACGGTACTTTGGTGAACATAAAAATGACGTGCAACGGATGATTGTCCCGCCTCTAGATGTTCAAGGACACACAATCTTGGCATATGGAATGAGTCGGAAAAACACAAAAAGGCGAATGCTATGTACCCTGGTGTCACCCCTTTATTCCCCTCATCTTGGAGCAGATCTTCCCCAATTTTTATGTGCATCACGCATTGTTATCCTTTTCCACTTGAAATTTCCATACATTTGGAACAATGACCTGTTTAGGGTTAATGTGTCATCAGGTGGTGTGTTTTGGTGATTTCATAGTTTCAATTTACATGAACAAAATTCAACATTTATAGTTCACCTTTGCGTTTCTTTTTTTTGGAGAGTATATTTACTGTGTTAATGCCATTTAGACGGATAACTCTATTTTTCCGTGGTTTCAAATTGAAAGTAGAACGGCATGATCTTAAGGCATGTAACTGCTCGGCTAAAAAGCCTGTTGAATGTCTGGGGGCTTGTGAACTGACACCCAACCCCACGAGTACATAGAATTTAGCCAGGCTAGCTGCTGCTTTCCAAACATGTTTTCCAAACAATCAACAACTTTTATGCTTCATTACATCAACACCATATGCATTGCTACAACAAACATTACTGTCCGTGTGAGTCATGGCTCCATCGTAATACGCACTACCTTATATGAAATTCATTATCATCCGTCGTTCTAGATGGAAAACGTACAAATTTATTCATAACAACTTCTGGTTGATTGCATATAGCGACGTTTCAATGTAGATTCTAACACCGTTATCAAGTTGGAGTGACAACAACCAAGCGATGAGATATATATATATGCATGGCTTGGTGTGATAAGCAGCAGATTAACATTGACAACAACAGGTGATAGATAACAAATACACACAGTCTCATGAATATTCATAGAGCACCTTGCTTATTAAATAGACTGGTTCTGATAAAAAAATACCAGGCTTTATGGTCTGATATAGGTGAATGTGTAAAGTGTGTGAGTGTCTGTACTTACCCTTTGCTGTATTCCCTGAAAGTTCCTATGGATGTCTTTGGTCAGCTCGCCTCGTAGTTTGCCAAGACTCTCTTTGTAAGAGTCTCTTTCGCGTTTAACTTGTCTGATCTTTCGTTTAACTGAGCGAAGTTGTGTCTTTGTGTTGTGTACTCTAGTTTTCAGGCTGGTAACTACAGCAAGAACTCGTCCGCTGATAATATTCCCCACGTATTCTTCTTTCAGGATGCCAGTAATCGCTTGCTTCACTAGAGGCTTTATCAAGGCAGGGATGAACGTGCCAGTCAGTTCTTCTTTCAGCAAGTCAAAATTGTTACTCATTTCAGTCCCCAAATCAGCAAATGTGCCTTTCCACGCCTGGGTCGTTCTGTCCAGCATGTTTAGTTTTCTAGAGAAGGCTGCCAAATTGGTATCAGCATGTACGTCTCTGACACCACACAACGACGCAAGAATGATGAATACAACGCTTGTTAGTACCATCGTATAGGGATGATATGCAGCTCGCGGCAGTAACGAGAAGACTGCGTTGGTGCTGGATAACATCGAACTTAGCCTCACGTGTTTGACAAAAAGCCAACTCAGGAATGCTCTGACAGAAAATTCCTGTGCGTACATGTGGCACCACAGCAGCAAATAAGACGGGCAACTTCATCACAGTATCGTGTTTCATAACACGTAGGTTGCCACAATAGTCGCGTTTTGAGAGTATTATTACTATTGAAGTAACTTGAAAAATATTAGACTGCTCGTTTACTTTAACTAATCTCGATCTCGATTAACATTAATAATATGTGTAAATTACTTCTATTTGTCTCACGCTGCGGAACTTACTTATTACCCATCCCCGACACCAAGGCCTATATGTCCAATGTACAACATATACCTTTGCTACACCCGTAGCAGACACCCAGGTCTCTATGCCACATGCAGTCTCACATATACCTTCCCCCTTCAATCCCCCACCCCAAAAATCCATCCTCCCTCTTTCACCATGGCTAAAAATCATTCTGTTTCTAAACGAAGACATTTGGATACAAGTTCGTCTGATAGGGTCAATACACATGTTGATTCCTTGTGATCGAAGCTACAGATCATGAACCAATCAAATTGAACCCTTTCAGTATATCCAGATCTGTTCATGGCCATTGTGGGGAGGTTAAATTGTGACACGTTTGCGCAGTGGAGCTCTTCTGGTGGAATGTTTGAAGACTCTGAACTATTGCCGGGACAAAAGTCAAGTTTAGTCTGTCAAACGTTTTACCAGAAAGGATGATAAATAAACTATTGTTCCAACGAACAAATATTTATTCACTTTTGTCCGTTGACCTATTACCAATTCAATTAAAGCTGGTTATGTCAACATCGGAGTGGAGGTGTATGTCCCTAATACACTCCGATGCTTTAAATGTAAACAAATTGGACATGGTTCGAAAACCCTCACACACCCCATGGTTTGTCATCGTTATGGTGACAACCATGAAAGTGCAGATTGTCCTCAAGATTTGAAATGTTTCTCACTGTTTGACCTTTCCATTCGTATGATTCTCAGACCTACCTTACACTTTTGCATTTAGGATATTTATGAGGAATGATTTTTTCTTTCAATCACACATTTTCTAAGACGTGTATGAAAGATAAACTATTGTCTCAAACTATATAATTTCACACACCCCATGGTTTGCCATCGTTATGGTGACAACCATGAAAGTGCAGATTGTCCTCAAGATTTAAAATGTTCAAACTGTGATGGGCCACTTCCAAATTCTGCCCTGTTTATCCAAAAGAAATCAAAATTCTTAAACCAAACAAGAACGAAACATCAGCTTTGCCGTCGCCAGGCAGCCTATTTTTTTCTAAATTCTTCTTCTGCTGTAGCCAAATCTGCTAAAACCTCCTCATCTGTTTTGTGTCAGACTGAGTTGACTTGGGTCAAGTCTGATCAACTCAATCAGAAAAAGCTGACAATCAATCTGAATCAACATATTCTCCCTCTCAGGCTCATACTGCGATAATTCATTTTGAATCAGCAAATGCAGAACAAAAGCTATCAAAAAATGAAAGAAAACGGTGAAACAAAAACTAAATGTCTATCAAAAATCAAACGCCCAATAACCTCTCGTCCTTGGCGGTTATTTCCCCACAACTGCTTTGGTGCTCATGTTCACGTGAGAGATTACCATTTGAGCCACCATGGCTCAAGCATCAAATATTATACAATGGAACCGTAGAGGACTTAGGAATAAATATAATGACTTACAACTCTTAATTCAAGATTTCAAACAAGGTGCAATATGTTCACAAGGAACATACTATAAAGAAACTGATATTATCAATTAATTATCAACTACTGAAACATTTACCAGACCCATGTTTAGAAACCCTTTTCGTTATTTTTGATGACATATGGACATCGGGTAAGTTCCCTTCCTCGTGACGTGATGCAAAAGTTGTTCCAATACCCACAAAAGGAGGTGATCATACTGATCCTTCCAATTATTGTCCAATTTCATTGACCAGCTGCGATTGCAAAACCATGAAACGCATGATCAGTAATCGAGACTAATAAGCTAATTACAAATATTTAGTGTGGTTTTCTGTAAAAAGAAACCAGAAGGAAAATTGTTCGTTTAGTCCGTTTGAAATGATTCTTCAAAAATGCCTTAATAAAAACAGCAACATGCAGTGTCTGTCTTTTTCGATCTAGAAAAAGCATAGGACACTACTTGGAAACATGGTATTTTAAAAGATTTTCATGATTATTGATTGCAAGGTCGTTTACATCAGTTTATATCCAAGTTTTTAACAGGCAGACAAACTAGATTCTATTCATCAGACTAAGGCTTTGCCTTCGAGCCGTTAGAGCTTCTCTGAGACAAAGTCTGTATGTGGAGGCTGGTTGTATTTTTAATCCTCTATATACAGAATGCTGTAATAAAAAGGTCATCTCTTACTCCACTCATCAATACTCTGCTGCTGTCACATTTAGTCGCCCCATGTTGGAGGTAAAGAGAATAAGAAACTATTTATGTGCTGTAATGAGCATGGCATTGTAGCGCCACACTAACACATCTGTAAGACGAGACATACATGTATAATCGACGTCAGTACTCTGCATGTCAGCTTGACCCGTTTCAACTTTGGTACATTAAGGTTAATTGTATATCAGTTATTTGTGGAAACATCAATAAGCATTAAATGTTTCAAGAAAGTATGGACCTCGGCCAGATGACTTCACATTAGGTCTAGCCGATGTCAGAGTGACCTGTACGAAACTCGGTACAGAATGTTGGCACTTTTCCTTTGACTTGCTCAACATTAAGATTAGGTTTAATGTAAATAAACCAGGACACCTCCAACTAGTTGTGGTCAGGTAGCCTAGTGGTTAAAGCGTTTGCTCGTCACGCCGAAGACCCGGGTTCGATTCGAGACAATATATATTGATATTGCTGGAATATTGCTAATCGGGCTGCTCAACAAAACTCACTCTCACTCACTCCAACTACTGTAGCTCGAGTCACATGTGTTATCAGCAGCAACAACAATCACGCATTCCTTTCAAAAGCTTTGTGACGTCATTACTGGTTAAACTGATGACTTCTGTAGTATGAAACATTAGACAAGTGATTGGGATGTTGTGCTCCTCCAATGTCAAAGAAAACGAGAGCGAGAACAATGGCAAAACACTAGAAGAGCTGTCGTCATATAAACAGAACAATGGCTAAACATTGGAGTAGCTGTCGTCATATACACAGAACAATGGCAAAACACTGGGGAAGCCATCGTCATATACACAGAACAATGGCAAAACACTTGAGTAGCCATCGTCATATACACAGAACAATGGCAAAACACTGGAGTAGCCATCGTCATATACACAGAACAATAGCAAAACACTGGAGTAGCTGTCGTCATATGCACAGAACAATGGCTAAACACTGGAGTAGCTGTCGTAGTATATACAGAACAATGGCTAAACATTGGAGTAGCTGTCGTCATATACACAGAACAATGGCTAAACACTGGAGTAGCTGTCGTCATATACACAGAACAATGGCTAAACACTGGAGTAGCTGTCGTCATATGCACAGAACAATGGCAAAACATTGGAGTAGTTGTCGTCATATACACAGAACAGTGGCAAAACATTGGAGTAGCTGTCGGCATATACACATACCATGGAAAACATTGGAGTAACTGTCGTCATATACACAGAACAAATGGAGGAGGAAATCTCTGGTTTTCACGTTGGTGAGGTTACCAGACGTAAGTGGGCATACTATTGACTGTCAATTCTGATATAGGTTTCCGTTTTCAAAATACAATCATCGTTAAGATTAACTTGTTTGACATAAATTCATACAAAACCTCTTGTTTCCCGAGTGATGTATTTGTTTCATGCTTTGATGGTTAGGACTTATGAACTTTTGTGTCAACACTAGTCATGTCATCCATTGGAATACGAAACCAGTGTTTCTATTTATAGCCCAGGCTGCCACGGTGCTGCACTTCTTGAACGTGTTGCTCATCACCTCACAACAAAACAAGTTTTATGCCATTCCATTCTGAAAGCACTTTAACATGTATCACATTTACCACGATGAGCCAACCTGACACCTCTTGTTCCTTGAAAACAATAACAAATGTTTCAGGAAGTCATTGCTGTGAAAACATATTACTAGCTTTGATTCCATTCATGTTTGTTTTCTATTTTTCTATTATCCTAATATCTAAACTCATGTCGTGTTCTCCTATCCTGATTCTGAAGGTAGCACATGCAATCAGCATATAGTACAGGGCAGAACTTGCAAAGTTCAAACACATCCATAGTTTCCATCATTGACCGTACAAGATTAATACAAGGGAAAGAAATGGCAGTGATGAAGCTATAGCTGTTGTATTTTGAAAGGAAACGCAGACGAACAGACAGTATTGGAGCGGTGCAGTCATACACACGATAATTAAAGATATATATATATATAAGATAGAACATTAATTATCGTGTGTATGACTAAATTAACACTGAATGTAAATATTACATTAATGCACACTTGTCATGATGTGGCCATTGCCTCTTATTATGTTGCACTAATGTACTGCAACCTACCTGTAATATGTATGTATGTATGTATGTATGTATGTATGTATGTATGTATGTATGTATGTACGTATGTATGTATGTATGTATGTATGTTCCAGTTAGGTTGCAGTACATTAGTGCAACATAATAAGGGGAAATGGCCACACCATGACAAGTGTGCATTAATGCAATATGTAATATTTACATTCAGTAATTATATAGGCCTCTCGTACCTACGGCTATTCTTGTTGGGAGTGTCTTCATATGTTTAACAACGACACAAATAAAGAGATTTGATAGCAGGGTTCATTTGCCTTGAAACTGTGCAGTTTGATTAATTAGAATTATAATTAAAGTTACGATACACGCAACAGAAGTTCGCCTTCGTACACAAACCATAGGGTAGACTTTGAATAGATATAATTACATGACATTTGTGTACAGCTA